CATGATGCCATGCAAAAATTAAATACTTCTTTTTTTATATGAAAAAACGTAAAATTTGAGCTAGTTTTATCGGGAGAAATTATTTTTGATCACTCGATCACTTCGGTGAAAAACACAGACCCGCCATGATAGTTATGACGCATTAGTTGACCGGCATGTGTCCTTTGACCCGGTGGGTCACAAACTCCATTTACCAATCAAAATGTCGCATGGTAATGCCGGTAGAACCCGAAGTTTTCCGCATGATCGTGATCATAAAAATTATATTGCGAAAGTAAAGCGATGTCGTAGCACGATGTGTTGGTATGAATTTCAGATGAAAACTGCATGATGCTTTTCGAAAGAGGTGATTAGAAATTTTTAAAAGGTAAAAAAAAGTATTGAAAGAAGAATTTTTACATAATTCACGATGATAACAGTTCAAATGTATTTTACCCAATAACGCAATAAACATGTTGTTTTTTTCTTGAGTAGCGTAAACTGATCGTGAACTCCAATTTGCCCATGTTATATCGGGTGGAATTGATTTTGAAAGAATTTTAGCTTTCAAACTAAAGACTGCGTCTATCGTCAGAAAGAGGTGCTAATTTTACAAAATTGACTTGTATTGTTCAAAGCCGCTACCACATCACGCGACTATGTCTATTGTTTACAAATTATTATCCCCGACTGGCAGGATGCGTGTCGGTCGGTACGTAAGTATAATAACAATATGACAATAGTCGGAAGCGTTTCCGCAGTGGTCGCTAATTTTGAGTGCCGGTCAGGCCGACCAGCGTGACGAGAACCCCCAATGAAAAGAAGCACTGTGGCGGTCTTGCTAATCACCGTGGCGGTGTCAGACCGGTGTGGTGGCAAATCAAAGCACTGTGGCGGGACTGCCACGCTGTTTACATCCTGGGGAGAACACTGATATTAACATTCTAAAAGTTCAATTCATCTCTGGAACATTGAGATCAAAAGGTTTCCATGTAATAGGGGAGTTTCTTTTTACAGAAAGCAACATTTTATCAAGAGCTATAAATTACTGTTTTTCTGTTTAATATGTTGTACATGAATGCAATAAAAAGTTAGCATGTTTTAATTATATTGACCTTTAGTTTTTCACATTCTCCTCTGACTTTGAGCAATTCTGCAATGCTATCCGTGAAACCGTGGTAATGGAAGTTACACATCCTCTCAATATCTTTGTCATGGCTTCGTATTCGCACATCCAATTGATCAAGGAATTTCTCATGTTCATTGCCATCGTATATAGCCCTGTGAAAAGACAATATAGTCTTATGGAAGTGTAGTATTATAGAGGAAGCCTACTGATAATTTTTGATAAATAAACCTTAATTGAACTATATTGGAGTGACAAAGGGTGAACAATTGCAATGAAAAATAATTACCACAGAAACACAATGTATTACATTATTTTGAATTGAGAACTTTGGTATTACATGTAAGAACAACATTTATGAAATCTCAATTTGAAATACCGTCAGAACAACTTTAGGCAAGACAAATAATGACATCATTTGATCTTACTGTACTCGGCAGGACATGACATTGTTTTTCACATTCATTTAGGCTATACATGTAGTAGTGTTCATGCTACATAAAGTATGGGCTAAGACTAAGGAAACAGTAGTTAGCAAAAGCTAAGGAACATCCAAACTTGTTAAGAATATACAAAAATCTTCAGTCATTTCTTACAACTCTTACAAGGTATACAAGCTGGTAGGCTGGTAGGCTGGTTGGCAATCCGCTCCTCTCAAAAAACAAATGACAAGTTTTCAGCTGTTGACATGGAGGACGTGAAGCTAACGTCTGTTTATAACTAAAACTGGGCCCCGTAGACATATTCAGAATTCACTTTTAAATTACTTTATTACCGGTACTAGCACATATTCTGCTGTTATAATTATTATTTTGAATTGTTTTGCGATTGTATTTTCTAGATTCTATGATTGAACGCAGCATTTACAGTGAAACATTGGTGGTAGAATGGCTTCTCCATGAATGCTATTACATTGGTGTAGAATGTATTGAGCAAACTTAACACTGAGAAAACAGGTGCAGAATTCATTATTTCTATTTATACATGTACAGATACATGTGTAATGTTATTCACATCATCCCCACCATCCCCAGGAGTACATGTATGTTGTATAATGTGATATTCTCAATGAATGACTGATCTACATTTCTATGACACAAATAAGGTAACATCATAGAGCACTCAATTTTGGTACAAATGCAGAAAATCCAAGTATGACTATACAGAATAAATAATAATAGTTATAACAAGAACATTTAAAAATTGTGACTTTCACTGTAAACCCCTTCATTTTACGGGAAAAATTTTCATCAATTTCATGGGTTAAAGAATCTTTAAATTTTGTAGTGTGAACATTTTACTAGTGTTAAATTCTGTCTTCACGAACACCATTTAATCATCACAATTAGTAGCAGTAAAAACAGCATATACATGTGCTATACATTTTGTATGTACCCTATATGAAGACACAAACTACAATCTTCTAGAAACATGCATTCATTCAAGCCAAATTGCTTATAGCCTAGCCTGATTTAGATATCCACTCATTTGAACAATCAGATTTATGTAATTCAAACAGATAAACTGTATCATCCCTAGTGCATACAATACCTAACACTGCTCCTCAAAGAATTTTCCATGTATAAAAATATTGATAATTTCCATGTAGTACTACATACAAAGTTTCTATTTGTAACATTTGTAAAGCAAAACTTGCTTGTCAGCAGGTCTTCTTGATGTAGCCACACAAATCATTGATGATGATGATAATAATTCATAACAGAGACAAACATGCATACATGTATCAGTGAACACTTCAGATATATCTACCATAGCATGTACACAAATACTAAGACAAGAAATCTGTTTTACCTAACTATACTCAAAGACTAAAAAAATTCACTTTACCTTGATAATATCCTTACACTATCCAAAAAAGAGGCGTTATACTCAACTTGATCTACAGGATCCTGCATGCTAAACTACAGCGATATTAGCATGCAGTGCATACAATGTAATTCCCATAAATGAAGACAACAGACAAAACTAACTCACAATGAATACAGATTAAGAACCCATCTGATTCTGATAAGCCACTTGACCTGACACGACCTATGCATGACCCCGGATTGAAAATATATACCCAATGATTAAGCCGAATAATTTACAGTTTTTTACTTTTAGCTTATAGATGGTACATGTATATCCTTAATCCGGTTATGGCATGACATATGATATAAAAGTAGCAACAACTAAATTACACTACATGTATTAGCAATAACAATTTAGTAGGCTGGAACCTCACGAATTCATGAAAGCTGGGATACAAATTAGTTAAATCATTGTCACTAGTTGGTTTAAAACTATTTTGGTCGCCATGGCAATTAAATTTAATGAATATGAAAAAAAGATGTAGGTAGTCTTTTGGCGACCAAAAAAAATCTGGCTGGCGATAACACTTTCATGGTGACACTTTACTACACACAATTCAAAATAATATCTGCCATATTTTTTTTTTTTCAATTTTTGTTATGAAACAACGTCTGACGATTGCTGCATATTTTGCCAGAGTCTGAGTCTGTGCAGTCTGTTGCCGAATCTAGGCAGGACTGTCATAGAGTGACAATCGAGACAGCAGTAAGAGAGAGAGAAAATTTAAACTGCATTGGTCAAAGACGCTTTCGTGGTTAAAATAAAACAAGGTCGAAGATTATATGTTTTGTATATAATGCAGCACACATCCAAATGAAAATGAGAGTACATAAATGAATTGGCATTATGTCACATGATTACAGTCTGTACAACGGTTATATCATATATGCCTAAATAAATATCTGAAAATCAAACAAGCAGCCTCTCGACTGAGATAGCTCCGCTGTTAGCAATGCACATTTCAATTAAAGAACAGAAGATATAATTAGAAAATGAACAATATGTAGACTTGGTGTTTTTAACAAAAAGTCGAAAATATCACTTTTTACCAAAAATTACAAAAATATTCATCAAAATTAGAGAATTGAAGATATCATCATGAAATGAACAAATTTGAGAGTGGTTTACATGTAGTACCTATATATGTAATATCAAAGCAATTGGACTTGTGGTTTTTAACAGGAGTCAAAAATATTTAATTTACTATTTACCAAAAATGACAAAAATATTCACCAAAATTAGAAAATTAAAGATATCATTACAAAATGAACAAATCTGAGAGAGGTACACATGTAGTACCTATATATGTAATATCAAAGCAATTGGACTTGCAGTTTTTAACAAGAAGTCGAAAATATCATTTTTTACCAAAAATGACAAAAATATTCACCAAAATTAGAGAATTGAAGATATCATTACAAAACC